AGTAGTAGTTAGTGGAGTAGTAGTAGTAGTAGTAGTAGTAGTATAGTAGTAGTAGTAGTAGTAGTAGTATAGGGAGGAGGAGGAGGAGGAGGAGGAGGAGGAGGAGGAGAAGGAATAGTTGGAGGAGGAAGGAATAGTTGGAGGAGGAGGAGGAGCGCGAGGAGAAGGAGGAGGAGGAGGAAGAGACATCACAAGAAAAGGAGGAGGAAGAGGAGGAGCAGGAGGCGGAGGAGGTTGAAGAGGACGAGGAGGAGGAGGAGCAGGAGGAGGAGGAGGAGGAGGAGGAGGAGTGGAGGAAAAGGATGACAAGGAGGAGGAGGAGCCGGAGAGGAGGATGAGGAGGAGTAGGAGGAGGAGGAGGAGTAGGAGGAGGAGGAGGAGGAGGAGGAATAATTGATAATAACATGGATGGTAATACTCATAATAATGAGAATAGTAATACACATGATAAACATGCTAATAATGATCATAGTAATATGACTACTACTACTACTACTAATAATAATAAGAATGATAATACTATAAATATATATAATAATAATAATTACAATAATAATACTAAGAAGAATGAGAATAATAAGAATAATAAGAATAATACTAATAATAATAATCAGAATAATAATAATAATAAGAATAATAATAATAAGAAGAATAATACTAACAATAATAATAAAAACAAGAACATGGGAGGAGGAGGAGCAGCAGGAGGAGGAGGAGGAGGAGGAGGAGGAGGACTAGGAGGGCTTTGTGGCGCTGGCCCTGGCAGGCCCCAGGCGCGGGACTGGCGGGAGCACTGGCTGCCGCGGCGTTGCTGCTGCTTTTGCCGCGGGGGGCTGCGCTGGGGGGACGGCCGCCAACTGGTGCGGCGGCCTGGAGGAGGGACTGCAGGGCGCGGTGGCGCGACGCTGGCCAGCGCGCAGGGAGGTTAGCGGGCCCGGCGGCGCACGCTGGCGCACGCTGGCGGGCTGGCGAGCAGGCCGCCAGGAGGTTCACGCCGCTCGGCTACCAAGCCCGGCAGGTTCCCGCCGAGCTCCCAGGTAAGCCGAGACTGCGGGCCCCGGCTGGCGCCCCCCCCCCCGTGTGCGGCCGCTGGTTGGCTGGCGGGCGCACTTGCCCTGGGCTGGCCAGCCGCGGCGCCCTGGGGATTTGCACTGGTACGGACTCATGTATCCTGGCCGCTGGAGGAGGAGGAGTAGGATGGAGGAGAAGGAGTAGGAGCAGGAGGATGAGGGAAGGAGGAGGAGGATGAGGAGGTGGAGCAGGAGAAGGATAGAGGATGATGGATGACGAGGCGGGAGGGAGGGAGGAGGATGAGGAGGAGAAGGAGCTGGAGAAGGAGGAGGAGGAGGAGGAGATACAGAAGGAGGGGAGGAGGTCGGATACGAAGAAGAGGAGGAGGAGGACGAATACGGGGATGATGAAGACGCCGACGAGGAGGACGCCGACGAGGACGACTAGGATAACGCCGACGACGAGGAGGAGGACGCCGACCAGGAGGACGAGGAGGGACAGAATGGGTTCTCCTTGGCGTTTCTCGCATTTTTATGTTTATTGCGTCCTTGATGTCTCCACGGAGGCTGATTTCGCCTCGTTGTACGGGTCAGGACGGATCCTCGGTAGGGTCCGGGGGCAGATTTGAATGCATGCAGGCCTGCGACGAGGTTTTCGGGAGTACGCGGCGACTCCGAGACGGTGTTCAAGGCTTTCGCAGAGTTTCAGCTGTCAAGGAGGTTTCGGGAGCTTGTCATCGGCTATTTGGAGAGATTTGAAAATTGATCGATCTTGTCCTCAGTTGTCCGGTGGTGAGGGGGGGGCGGTGGAATGACGGGAAGGAGTAGCAGGAGCGGCAGCTGGCAGCAGGAGGGGGAAGGATGATGGAGATTCGCGCGTCTTTTGTCGTGCAGGCTCGTCTGTCGTTTCCCCGTCTCGTCGTCTCAAGCTGCACTAGCTGGCATCCAGAGTGCTTCATAGCGCTCGACTGAGACAGCCCCCGCATCAGCTCCACTTCCTGTGCTCATGCACCTCCGATGTTGACGGCGTCTCTATCTCGTGCTTAGATACTAGTTACACATGTAAGCGTATAGTGTTATTGCACTATCTCTCACTTCTCTATCCTTATATTTGGTTTGCTTTCTCTCTCTCTCTCGCTCTCTCTCTCTCTCTCTCTTTCTCCTTCTCTCTATGTGCTCAGATGGTAGTTTATACATGCATCTCTCTTTCTCTCCTCTTTCTCTCCTCTCTCTCTATCATTTTTTTGTTGTTTCTCTCTTTTTCTCTCTCTCTCTCTCTTTATCACTTGTTATTTCTCTCTCTATCTCTCTCTCTCTCTCCATCCCCTCTCTCTTTTCTTGCGGATACTGATCCTTATCCTGTTCATTATTCTTATCGCTGCGTCGCGCTTTTACACTTACCTCCTTGCTCGTACATGTTGCGTGCTCCTCAGCCCTTAGTTACTACGCGCACAGCCCTCAGCGCGCAGTTCGCGTTGCCAGGGCCACGCTTCGTTTGTGTGATCTGTTATAGTTGCCCGGTCCGCCACTTGGTTCTCCTAATCTCCACGCGGTGACGCCGATACGATTTCAGGGTGAGTTCACATCATTCCGTGTTCAGTTGGCGTTATGTCTCAATATTGCGTGTTTTTATGTTACGTTTTCTGTCCTTTTCCCTCCCCGACACGATCCGCGTGAGGTGCGTGTGTGTGTGTGTGGCGAAATCGGAGGTTGAACGCATGCGGACGCCCTCATTGGCGCCGCGGGCCGAATTTATGATGGGGCACGATCCGCGTGAGGAGTTCTCTCCGAATGGGCGCAGGCACCGCGTGCGGGCGCCATCACCGGTGCCGTAATCTGGCGTAGCTCCCTAAGCACTATCTGTGTGTGTGTGAGAGGTGAGCCCTCACTGGCTCCGTAGGCGGAGCCCCCCACGGGGCACGACCCGTGTGAGTGAGGCGTGTGGTGGCATTGGCGGAAGGGCTGCATGTGGGCGCCCTCGCTGGTGCACCAGGCGGAGCTCATCATGCGGCGCCGTCTGTGTCAGGTGTCAAGCGTGTGTATGCGTGTGTGTGTGTGTGTGTGTGTGTGTGTGTTTGTGTGTGCCGAAAGGAGCGGAGGGCCGCATGCGGGCGCCCTCACCGGTGCCGCAGTCAGGCGGAGTTGCCGGTGGGGGCAGGGAGCGCGTGCGCGGTGTGCCGAAGTGGACCTGCGGAGAGCGAAGTCGAGGAGGAGATGTGGAGAATGGACATGCGGAGGGGGGAGGAGGGGGGCGGGGGAAACGGGCTCTCTCTCTCTCTCTCTCGACTCAGGCAAGGCAAAGCTCCCGCCAAGACTGCGAGCCTGGCCAATCCTCGGTCTCCCCGAAGGGAAGTGCTGGTCGCCCGCACGCAGCGGGACGAGGACTGCGAGGGTGGCGCGCGCGCGGAGAGGGGAGGAGGGGGCAGGCGGGGAGGAGGAGGGGGAGGAGGAGGGGGAGGAGGAGGAAGAGGAGGAGGAGGAGGAGGAGGGGGAGGAGGAGGGGGAGGAGGAGGAGGAGGAGGAGGAGGAGGAGGAGGAGGAGGAGGAGGGAGGAGGAGGGGGAAGGGCGGGGAGGAGTGGGAACGCGCGGCGCCTCGTGTGTGAAGCAGGGGCCCAGCACGGCAGGAGGGCCGGGAAAGCAAGGGAGGCGGAGCGCGGCACCCTTCCGCCCACGCCGACCGCTCTTAAGGTCAGCAGCGTCCAGGGCAGTGCAGATTTCGTAATAAAGGGAGGGGGGTCTCATTTCGGGGGGTCTCTTCCAGGCTATCTTGGAGAGCCTGGGGGGGGTCTGGGGACGATGTTTTGGAGGGTTCTCCCACGGGGGAGGTCTGAAACGGCTTGTCTTGGCGGGTCCAGACCCCCTCCCTTTTATTACACAATCTGGAGTAGTGCTGGATCCACATGACTCGGCTGGCCCGGGCGAGAGCCGGGAGCTCATGTGGCAGATGTCTCTCCAGCGCTCGGCTCTGCCATGGCCAGGCACGCTGGCCGTACTTCGGCACGCGCGTCAGGCGCGTGCCCCCCCAGACGTGCCGCGTGTGGGGTCCAGTCACGCGTGCTGCCAGATTCCAGGTCGCACCTCCGCGCGGCAAGGCGGCCGCCGAGAGGAGGACGCCCAGCAGATCCGTCACGGCAGCTGTTGTTGCCGGGGTTCCTCCTCACGGCTTCGAGGTATGGATAGGTCTGTGCCGCCGAGGAAGGGGGATCAACGGATCATACGAGAAAGGGCAGAACAACGACCTGCAAGGACAGGAAGAAATGGGCGCTGGGCGGTGGGGAGGTCGAAGAGGAGCAGGAGGCAGGGGTCGGGCAGAGAGGGCGGAAGAGGAGGGAGGATGAGGGGATGGCAGGAGAGGGGGGGAGGGGGGAGGGGCGTGTGGGTTTTTTTGGCACCAGAACGACGCTTTCCCAACCGAATGTTGTTTTGGCTAGTACCTCTGGATACCTGAGGTTTCTGAAGGGCGTTCAAAGACCGCTGGGCGGCGTTCAACAGCCTCCTGGATGGAAGGCGTTCGATGGTCTCTGGAGTGCGTTTGAAGGCCCTTGGAAGGCATCCCAAGGCTTCTGGAATGCGTTCAAAGGTTTCCAGAGGGTAATGGAAGTTCTTTGGACGGCGTTCAAAGGTCTCTGCACGGCGTTCAGTGGCAGCCTTTGGAAGGTTTTCGAAGGTCCCTCCTGGACGGAGTTTACGGGCTTCTGCATCGCGTTCAAATGCATTCTTCGTTGCAGGCATGCTCTTCGGGTGGTGAAGCACACAGGTGGCGGTAAGGATGTAAACAAATCCCGCCCGAATCCGCAATCGTGAGTGTGAAGCGTCTGCTCTGTCGCCCAAAGAGTTCGATGCACAGGCCAGAAGGGGGGAGGGGTCGAGAGGGGGATGAGGGAGGAGGCCGGGGCACGGGGGGCGGGGGGGGGGACGGCAGGTGGGGGGGTGGAAGCAGGCAGAGGCCATCGGCGCCAAGAGCCCGGGCGGGTGAGGGCCGGGGGCAGGCCGCCAAGCTGCTCCTGAAGCTGGCGCTGCGGAGGCAGACCCCTTTCGCGTTCTACGTCGACGAGGCCCGCCGCCACAGCGCGACGCGCCAGCCAGCTCCCCTTGGGAGCGGGAGGGGTACACATTCTTCACTCGTAATGTTTCGAAAGTTGTTTGATTGTTGGGGGGCCAAGATCCTTTCATTTCTAATTGTTCTGTCCTGGGCCTCTTCCTGGCCACTAGGGGGCCAGGAACACTTAGAAACGAGCACAATTAGAAATGAGCACGATTAGCCGTAGCCATTCTGGCTCAAGCCATTTTGGCTCAAGCCATTCTGGCTCAAGCAGCCAGCACGAGTCAGCGCCGCCAATACCGTACTGGCGGGCTCGGGTTTGTTTGAGAGAACGATTTGGCACCAGCGTGCCAGCCGATACACACACCTTCGAGTTCTGTGCGCATGGGAGCCGATGGGAATCTTGGCGCGTCGTGGGCGTGTGCGTGCGGCACAACCGACAACCACCCATGGAGGACCTGGTGCCGTGGCTATGGCAGGGCGGCCCCCAGGACGTCATCGGTGGTTACGTACCAGTGGCAGCAGAACAAGCGCAAGCGGGTGCCGAAGCAGCAGGGCCAACGGCAGCCACAACAGTGGACGCAGCCGAGGGCCCAGGGCTGGTGGACGCAGCCAGTGGAGTGGTCAGCTCTGGCGACAGCCCCGAGGCCAAGGGCAGCTGTCGAGGCGCCGGCAGCGAACCACGTCGAGGACTTGGCGCGGCTCTGCGAGAAGCTCCACAAGGAAGGCGTGGTGGACCAGGAGGTGCTGGCAGCCGTGCAGGGCGCCAAGGTCAAGGCGGCCCAGGCAGCTGAGGCGGCAAAGCCTGACAAGGGCCTGGATGACCAGCTGCGCGCGGCGCAGGGCAAGATCATGCACAAGGAGCGCACGGTGGCCAGGGCAGCCGAGTACGTGAAGGAGACGCGCAAGGTGCTGGCCGACGCCCAGGCCAGCTTCAAGGCTGCAGAGCAGGCGGCGCAGGAGCGTGCCGACGAGCTGCGCGCCCTCACCGAGAAGCGCGCGGTGCTGCTGCAGCGGATGTCGGCCAAGGCGTCGGAGATCGCCGACAGGGCGAAGGAGGACTCCGAGTTCATGCAGGCGTACAACGAGCTCAAGGACGCCCAGAGGAAGGCCCATGAGAGCGAGCGGGCCCTGCGGGAGAAGTACAAGGACCACTTCGCCAGCGCCCCAGCGCCAGGGGGCCCACCAGCGGAGCCCGAGGCCACGGACCCGATGGACCTCGACGCAGCAGTGCAGGAGAAGTTCTTCGAGGACTGGTGCACGGGCATCGGCATCGACAAGGACGTCGTGGCGCAGAACATGGGCGACAACCTTTCTGTGGCTGGTCGCGTGCGTAAGCTCTGCGAGTGCGCACCCGTTGGGGCAGCCAAGCGTCCACGGCGTGCTTGACAGCGCAGGCCAGCCGTGGGCCGACGAGGAGTGCGGGGGCCATGGGGGCCCACGCGAGGCGCTACCCGAGGGCCAGCCTGCAGGACAGGGCAGGCGCAAACGAGGGCGAGGCAAGCTCTCGAGGGGGGCAGAGATCTACACCGCCAACTGCAACACGTGGGCCAAGGGCGTCGCGTTCGTTGACGAGTACATCACCAAGCCGAGCTGCATCCTGGGCCAGGAGCACAGGCTGGACGATAACTGGAAAGAGGAGGCGCAGGCAGCGACCTGCAAGCGAGCACGGGCGATTGCGATGACGCCCAGTGCGACGGGAGCCCGTGGGGGCCGCAGTGCTGGGACCTACATCATGGTGCCCAAGTCCATCGGCCTCACCTACGCGTACGACCAGCAGGAGCGGGACTGCTCACCCACAGGCATGCGAGGGCGCATATGTGCGGCCCGATGCCCGCTGTGGGGCACAGGAGGCGCGCTGCTGGTCTCGGCATATATGTGGACAGGCGAAGGGCTGTCAGAACGCAACCTGCTGATCCTGGACCGCATCGGCGAGCTCGCAGAGATGCATGCTGTCCCTTGGATTCTTGGCATGGACGCGCAGTTGGAGCCCCACATCTTGCGCGAGTCAGGCTGGCTCCAAGACGTGGGAGGAGTGCTCCGCACCACCGGCAAGGTTACGTGCGGCAGCATCGGAGGAGGACGCGAGATCGACTACTTCGTGGTCGCCAGGGGCCTCAGCCCTGCCCTCAGCCAGGCAGAGAGGGTGGAGGACAGCGAGGTCTCCCCGCGCTGGCCAGTGCGGATGCGCTGCCTGAAGCAGCCCAGGGAGGCCAAGGTGCTGCGCTTCATCAAGCCGCGTGCCTTCCCCATGGCGCTGCCAGTCGGGCGTGCGCCGCAGCCGCAGCAGTGGCCGTTGTGGCCGACCAACCACACGGGCAGGCTCGACCAGGGGGACCTGGACAACTACTGGCGCCAGGTCTCGCGCACGGCAGAGGAGGAGCTCCTGGGCATCTGCCAGATCCCAGAGGAGGAGCGCCCACGGTACCGCGGCCGAGGCGATGCGCCGAAGACGGTGCTCACGCCGCTCCTGGGCCCCAAGGCGAGGGGTGGCGTCGGGCAGGCGTTGGAGGCCACGGCCTGGCGCTGGGTGGCCAACAGGATCGGCAGCCACATGCTGGTGGCTCAAGCAGCCAGGGCGAAGCGCCCAGACCCAGCTCGGGTGGCATGGCTACGCGAGGGCCTCGGCAAGGCGTTGCACCGAGGGCGACGCCGCTTGCGGCAGCTCGGGGCCGCGAGACAGTGGCTGGACCACCTCCTCTTCGACGTCGAGCACTGGCGGCTGCGCGAGGATGGCGCTGAGGAGCTGCTCACCGCAGTCATGGAGATACGGCGGAGGCTCCTTAAGCAGGCCAACGAGATAGTGAGTACGGTGGCTCAGGAGAGGGCCAAAGCGTGGAGGGGTCGCCTCAAGGATGGCAGCAAGGGTGCAGCAGGTTTCTTGCACCGCATGGCTCGCTGGCGCCATGCCGAGCGACCCCCCGCGCCCATCGCGAACTACAAGAAGGACGAGGTGGAGTTGCTCGACGGGCAGACGCCCGTGGATGGGCACGCCCACCAGTGGTACCAGCTCTGGGCCTCGCACGGGGCCGACAGCCGAGGAGAGCACGACCGACCTTGGGAAGGACGAGTCTACCCCGCACCACTCGTCAGAGTTTCGGCCGATCGGTTCAGGGAGGCAGCCAGGCTGTTCAAGACAAGCACTGGCATAGGCCCTGACTGGTGGCACCCGAGATGGTGGACGTGGCTATCGTCGGAGGGCATCCAGGCGCTGGTCGACCTCGCCGAGTACATACTCCACCACGTTCATTGGCCTACCCAGGTAGAGCTGCTGGCCTACTTCCTGGTGCCGAAGCCGCGCGAGGATGGGCGCCGCCCGCTGGCCCTCTTGTGCTCCCCGGTTAGAGTTGTTGAAACGTTGATGGCAGATGAGTATCGCAAATGGGAAGAGATAGTCGCACGGCCCTATGACTGGGCTAGCAGAGGTAAAGGTGCTGAGGACGCGATGTGGGACCTCATGCTCAGGGGCGAGAGCTGCCCAGAGGACCACATCAACGCGGCTGTGGTGAAGGACCTGTCCAAGGCGTTCGAGCATGTCACCATGGGGCGCCTGTGGGAACACGGGCGCAAGTTGGGGATGCCAGAGCAGGTGCTCCACTTCATGATCTCGATCTTCACTATGGAGAGGGTCGTCACGCTGGATGGTATGGTGGCCTCTACACGGGTGCGTACGTGGTCGGCAGCGGCTGCAGGCAGTCGTGGCGGTGCACGGGCGCTCAAGTGCTTCGCCGTCATCTTGCTGGACATGGTAACCTCGCCGCGGTGGCAGAGCAGATTTGCTTCTGTTTTGTTTTGTTTTTTGGTTTTTCGGTTTTCACATTGCAAATGCGGCGCGCGCCTGGCGTCCAGAAGGCGCGCTGGGGGCGACCGAAACAACGCCCGGAAGAGCGCCTGTGAGCGCGCTGAGGCGAGCGCCCGGGCGAGCCAAGAAGAGTGCCGAGAACGGCACCCAGGAAAGCGCCATCAAGAGTGCCCAGAATATGGCCCAGACGCGAATCTGGAAGAGCGCCCGAAAGAGCGCCCGGAAGTGCGCCCAGCAGCGACCGATTTTGCGACCGATTTCGCTTCCGATTTCGCGTCCGTTTTTTTGTGTGTCGATTCAATACTAAAACAAATCAGACGCAAATCGGATTTAAAATCGGACAAAAACCGGACGCAAATCGGATGCAAAATCGGACGCAAATCGGACGCAAAATCGGACGCAAAATCGGGAGCAAAATCGGACGCTGATGGCGTCGACCATTTCTGGGCGGATGAGGCAGCGTATCGCGGTGCATCATGGCGAGGTCTGGTAGGGTGTGTATTGCGGACCCATGCGCGCAATTCAGCGTTGGAGTTTTAGCGATATGGCGAACGACAAACTGCGATATCGCGTTGTGTCCAGGTCGGGCCAAATCGACAGAAAAATCAGATCGCCGCTTCTGCGGCCGTTTTTCAAGTGAGACATGGTCATCGCCAGGCCGTGCCTGGAGGGCGCCAAGAGGTACGTCAAGCTCTACGTCGACGACACCACGCTCCACCTGCAGGGCGAGCGGGAGGCGGTGGTGCACGAGGCGAAGGAGTCTGCAATGACATACATACAGGCAGCTGAGGCAGAGGGCCTCCCTCTGTCGCTCACCACGCACAAGAATGGCGTCACCAAGAAGGGCAAGAGCTATGTCTACACGGCAGACAAGCAGGCCAAGGCCAAGTTCAAGCTCTGGGCGAAGGACTGGGGCCTGGAGATCCAGGAGGAGGGCGTGCAGCTGGGCGTGGACTTCACGGGCGGTGTTGGCGCGCAGCGGCGGCCCAAGCAGCAGGAGCGCGTAGAGGTCATGGTCACGAGGGGTACCAAGCTGAACATCCTGAAGAAGCAGGGCGCCAGCTTTGGCACGGCCAAGGTAGCCAAGCTTGGCTACTTGCCGCCCATGCGCTACGGGGTGGCCTGTATCGGAGCGCCGCCGAAGCTCATCGAGAGGGCTCGCATCAACCTGTCGATGGCGCTGAGCGGCGAGGCCATGGGCAAGGAGCGCA